AAGCACGCAGTATGATACATTTATAAAAAAAAAAGCCAAAAGGAAGGACTCTTCCAATATTATTTATTTGAATTGCAGGCGAAATTCAAAATTAGGCCGATGATTACTATGATAGTTTTCTTTTCCTTGACAACGCCGGTTGGAATAGCTGTTGGCATTGGAATCTCATCAGTTTACCACGAGAACAGCCCAAAAGCTCTCATTGTTGAAGGCATACTGAATTCCGGAGCTGCTGGGATTTTGATTTACATGGCTCTCGTTGGAGGCAAAATTCAAAATTAGGCCGATGATTACTATGATAGTTTTCTTTTCCTTGACAACGCCGGTTGGAATAGCTGTTGGCATTGGAATCTCATCAGTTTACCACGAGAACAGCCCAAAAGCTCTCATTGTTGAAGGCATACTGAATTCCGGAGCTGCTGGGATTTTGATTTACATGGCTCTCGTTGATCTTCTTGCTGAAGATTTCATGAACCCTAAGATCCAGTCAAATACAACCCTGCTAATCATGACAAATATTGCCTTACTAGTTGGTGCTGGCTGCATGTCCCTTTTAGCCAAATGGGCTTAAATTACTGCATAGTACCGAAATTGGTGGAAAACTTTTGCTTCTCATAAAGTTTTTTACTTCTTTTGTAATGATTTTTCAGTAATTTAGGTATTGTTTGGGGAGAGATTATTTTGTGTGGACGTCGAACGCAATTCACCATCCGGAGATCAATCAGAATGCGCCACATCAGTGATATTGAGCTCAGTACTGAGCAGTACTTAGCCGCGATATCGAGCATCACTTAGCCGGGTACCGAGCAGGAGGCGACATGGCGCTTCTAGTTGGTCTTCAGACGGCGTTCGACGTCCGCACATAATAATTTCACTTGTTTGGAATGACTTTTTTATTGTTTTTTAAAATAAAATTTTAAATTTTAAGAAGCAATAAAAAAGTAGTCCCAAACGTAACAATGTTGGGGTTGTTTTATGTGAATGTTATGATGATGCTATGTTTTGTTAAGTTGAATGAAATAAAAGCATTTTAGCTGCATATATATTAATATTAAGTTTTTTTTAAAGGTTATTTCGTATGGTAATGAAAGCATAATGAAGATCATTATAATAAGAATAATAAAATGCTAGGAGAATTATAAGAAAAGAATATAAGGGGGTTTACTTTGATTGGTATGATCCACCTATATCCATGATCATTCACAAAGATAAATATCCACAAATTAAGAAATAAAAATACGTACAAATATTTGTCTCACTTATATCTCTTTATTATTTTTTCCTCCCTCTTTATATTTTCCCCTCTAAATAAGAACATCATTTTTTACGCCATATATGTTCACTGAAGATAAAAAATATGTTGTCTCATATGTCTAACCATCTTGTTGATCCCTATCTCTATTGAAAAAACCTCTATTGGGATTCTTAGAGGATAAAAACTTATTGCTTTTCACCACATCAAATAAATACGAGCCACCTTATTTATGATAGAACAACCTAAAGGGACAAAAATAGTAAATATACAAATTAACATAAAATTGTATCAAATACTAATAATTTCCACATTGGTCTAATTTCATAAAATAAATGGTGAGAAGGAGAAATTTTTCGTTTCTAGAAGATACAAATTATCAATCTTGCAATTTATAAACATGTTCCTAAACTTAGAGACCTAAAGATACCCATTAACACCTTTGATGGGTAATTCAAAATAATTAATTGAATTGAGAAGAATGATTCTCTTTGTAGCTTGATTTCTTACCATTAGTAGAAGGTATTCAGGACAATAATAATAATAATGCCAACATCAAAACAAATATTAGTATAATTGCCTAGCATAATAATATTGATCTTTTTTGGACATTTTTTTCTTCCACAAGATATGAAATATCAATCTTGAAGTTTTTAAACATGTTCTTGTTGAGAGGAGGATGATATGATTTTACAATTGCTAGAAGGGAATTCAGAAATATTCAGGAGTAAAGTTATAAGGATTAAATTAGATATCAATAGTTTTCTGTTAAAGCCGACTATAATTCAATCTTTGGATTTTTTTAAGAATTACATCAATTTAGTAGAAAGGAAAAAAGCTTTTGCTTTTTTTCTGTTTGTTGCATGGTTTATTAACTTTGGAGGGAAAGGAATAATCGTAGATTCGGGAATGTGTCGATCAACCTCTCTTCCCTTCTCACTCTTATTAGATACGCCCTTATGCAAAAATTTAAAAAATGGAGGAATTTTGATGAGCTCAAGAGGGGTTTTGCCATTCTTAAAGATGCTTAAAACTGGCAATTTTTTGCTGATGGTTCGCTGCATGTTCAGGTTGCTGGATAGGATTTTGTCATGCTAGTGCTAATTGTTGGGTTGACTGTTTTATACCTTATGTTGGCCAGGTCTCATTGTTTTGGATTGTGGTTCTTTGATTCTGTTTTGGGGATTTTGCGTCTGTTTTTGGTTCAGGTGATGATGAAAGAGTCCAGCTACGTTTTTTGGGTTTTCTTGCGATGGCCTTTTGCTGGTTGTATTCATGTGGCTGAAAGAGTTCTGGACGGTTTGTGCCTTCAGGTATGGCCCCTGTGCTTACCGTTATTCATCACATGGCAGACCTAGGGTAATTTGGGCACTTCTTCTTAGCTGATTGGTGCGATTGTTCTCCGTCCCAACTCATTATGATGGTTTTTTGGCAATGGCTCTATCGTGAGCCTTTTTGGATTGTTTTTGTAGTCCTTAGACGCATGTGGCTTATCTTTTTTTTTTGGTTCTTCACATCTTTTTTCTTCTTCTCCCCTTTGTTATTTTGATCTTTCTACTTTTGTAATTTTTTATTATTAATATACGGGCAAAACTTCAAGTTTTAAAAAAATAAAAAGAAAAAGAAAATGAAAATGTAACCACATGGAAGATATGACGTTGGAATATGTGTGTGTGGTTGGCATTCTTACAAAATTTTAATATAAAATTATTTTACAAAACTAAATAGTGAAACTTTAAATTATTGCTCCTCATCTTCCAAAGTCATATTAATTGAATTGACTACTCGACTCCTCATCTTCCAGCACAAATATCTACAAATACATATTTTTTTTCTTTTATTTTCATCCCGAAAGTCTCTTCCTTTACGTCATGGCAACACTCTGTCGACATTCTCTCTACATCATTGGTTGAGACGACTTGCGGTCAATGAACCGAGGCCATTTAGAAGTTTTTTTTTAATAATTAAATTTTGTTGACTTACAATAAATTACAGTTCATACGCAATCTTACATCTGAGCAAATAAACAAAGGAGAGTAGCTCGTAGCACGGTAGCAGTCAGGCATAAACGAATGAAGAAAGCATCTCGGAAGATAGAAAATCTGTATATCAAGTTTCTGATGGGAATTGGAGAAATTATTTTGTACGGAGATTGGGCGAAGAATGTCGTCTGGAGACCAATAAGAATGAGTCATGTCAGCCGTACCGAGCATAGGAGTGACATAGCGCATTCTGATTGGCCTCCGAATGACATTCGGCATCAGCTCAAAAATAATTAATCTCGGAATATAGCGCC